GCAAGAAACTGAATTCCTATTATAATTGCATTGGAATGCAAAAATTCGCTAAAAATATTTTAGTTTAGCAAAGGATTTGTGAATGTGGTGAAAGAAGCTCTTGTTTTGTGACTACCGGAACAATTAACACAAGTATATACATAAAAGAATCCCTCAAGAAACGCCTTTTGCTGTTTTTAAGAACACACACAGGTAACCCTTTATTTTGGCCTGATTTAGCATCATGTCACTACTCTAGGACAACTTTAAACTGGCTTAGAAAGTATAAAGTAGATTTCATTGAAAAACAATGCAACCCACCAAGTTGTCCCTGACTTTGTCCTATCGAAAGATATTGGTCTCTTGTCAAAAGAAAACTAAGGTTCAATGCAAAAGAAGCCAAAAATATTAAAAACTTCAAAAATAAATGGATTAGAGCTACCAAGAGAGTCCAGCCAAAGACTGTGCAAAAGCTAATGCTGAGTGTTAAACGCAATGTGTGTGCGTTTTCATGCACAAAACTTCACAAGCTTTCTAAAGTAAAATTTAAGAATATTTATATATGTACTTTCAAAATATATATAATATTCAATATTGAAATACAATAGTTAAATTATTATCCATTAAAATGTCCGCGCAGATTTTTTCTGGTACATATCTAAATATAAAAATTAGGACAAATTAATGTGTTTTATTGCATTAATGCATTATTTAACGCCAACAATTAGTTTCTTGCGTGTTAATGTATTTTTTATTTTGAGTCTTATTTTCAAGATTGACAGGACTGCATAAACTTTATTTCAAAAAAGACCTTTCAATCTTTAGTTTATAGAACTATTAAAATTAAATTAAAAAGTTAATCTCCACTTTTTAGTATGGTAAAAAATTATTTCTTTTTGCAAATGTTTTCGACTTTTTTTACAATGAGTTCTTCATGAGTTTCACCCGCTCGTTTTTTTTTTAAGTTTTACCTTATTTTCACTTTTGTGAAGCTGTCTGTAAAGGTTTACGTTTCTCATTATATATTTTTTGTTTATTATTGCATATTTTTAATATTACTATTATTATTATTATTTTTACTACTATTATATTAATTTATATTAGTATAAAAATAATTATTTTGTATTTTTATTATGTTTGTTTATAGTTTTGTTTGTTTATTTTGTTTAAAAATTATGGAATAATTGAATTATAATTTATAATAAATCATAAAATAATTGAAACTTTTGTCTGAATTTTTGTTATAGCTTATGTTCAAACAACAAGAAATAAATAAATTTAATGAAGAATTGTGTTATAAGTGAAGAGAAAGATTTAAAAATGGAATAAGGTACCAAAATCTTAAATGGACACTTTTATTTTAAATTTCTTCAACAAGAAGTTAATAGAACTAAGGTTATTTGTAAACACTGCAAAGCTAAATTTTCTTATCATTGGAGTACTTTGAGTCTGAAGTATCATTTAAATTGATGCTGTTGATGCCAGCAAATTACCCACCCAAACAAGCAGTGGAGAAAAGCTTTGTCAGAATACATTGGATACAGGATGTGGGAGAACTATAGAGAAACAAGAGAAAGACAAAGTTCCATTCGAAAGTGGGTAGCTACAAACTGCAGGCAAATTAGCATTGTGGAAGATGTCAGTTAGAAGAATGTTTTTAGGATCACAATGAATGACTGCAAGTATTAGCCTATGGCAAGATGCACCATCGCAAGAAAAATACATTACTGTATAAAAAATAGTGAATTATAAAGGCAACAGCATTACAATATTTACAAACTATTTCTCTAACTGGAAACTACAGGACATAACTGGGTAACCATAATTACCTCAAAGTTGTTGTGCAAAGTTGTTGTGTACACAAGAAAGACTTTTTGCTGAAATGTGCACAGAACATTTTATATATGTTGCACAGCTCTGGGACATTTTAAATAAAATTAGTACACTTAGCACAGATAGTGCAAGAAATATAGTCGCTACTGCAAGGTATCTGGCTTTTCAATGCTTTCCCTGCATCACACAGTCTCCAGCAATCTGTCTCAATAACTGTTAACATCAGCTTTAGAAAAAAAAAACAGACAAATTGAGCGTGGACAAAAGAAGGAGTCGTTTACACAAGACATTACTACTAGATGGAATTCAACTCTGGACATGATAAAAAGTGTTTGCAGAAACAAACAGCCACTGAGTGATGTCCTCACCACACACAACACAAAGATTGTTATGCCAACATCAGCTGAAATAGACAAATTGCAGAGGATGAAAAAGCTACTAGAGCCCTGCAAGTATATTTTATGTCTCACCAACTGGTTTGATTGCAGATGAGATTAATGTGTGTGTATGTGTAAAAAAATTAATGTGTATGTGTAAAAAACATTTGAATGAAATGGGTTTGATTTTTTGCAAGTATATGACTGAACTTCTGGATGGAGAAAAATATGTTTCATGCTCTGTGGTTCTGCCTGTTTTTAGGGAGAGCTCAGATGACCCTGCCATTGTAGTTAAATTCAAGTCTGCTTTACAAACCGACCAGGAAATATGCAAGGAAAATGCCAACATTGCATATCTAAAGATTGCAACCGCATTGGACCCAAGATTCAAAGGTCTC